GAAGTTAATCTAGCACTGAGCGAGAGTCCTTGCTTTCTAATTTGCTTTAGTTTTTCAAGAAGCATTTTTAAATTCCAAGTTGCAAAAATAGAGATGCAAACCTGTGCTTGTGATTCAACGGTAACTATTTTAGCAATTTATCATTGTTCTGGTAACATGATCATCAACTTTTAAGGCAATTAGGCTGTGTAGAAATCACCAACATAAAGGAAAAGAAAAAATGAACAGCAGTTGGTCTTCAAAGCATTTCTCTTTTGCATGACAAGGACGATGTGGGCTTAATCAATAAATTGGCATAATGAGAAAAATTGTACCTCCTTTAACTTCGAGGGCAAAAATTATTTTGGCACATCACTTGGAACTGCTGTGGAATTTTTAGGCATAAAATGTAATGAAATCACATAGGCTTATAGGAACACTCTAAATGCTGTTTTGGGGACAAGTAGTTAACCTAAGCATTAATGCTGGCAATACCAAAATACTAACATAGCTTCCTAAGTATGTTAATTTTAAAACAGTTGCTCAACAAACATTTTTTGATTACATGTTATATTTCAGGCCTAAAACTCACTACAATACCATAAAGATCAATGAGTCATTATTGGTGATGTAAATTTATAAATGTATCACATGTTATTTTTAAGTCACAACTTTTCCTCTGCCCAATACTCAGACCTTACCTGAGTAATTAAAATAAATAGAAAGCAAAGTTCAAAGGGAAATTTAGTATGCCTCCTTTCCTTTAAAATTTCTGATTGCTTAGTTTTCCAAGGAATCTTTGTAAGTTAACACAGTGTGCATGTGTACAAAGGAAGCACAGTCATTTTCTTGGTGGAACAGGGAATGAAGAAAGACTCCTGGGGAAGAACATGGAAACTAAATATTGCTAGAGACAGCACAGATTTTAGAAACTGGATGAAATTAGGGTAATATAGTTTCTGGTATCTTATAAAATTTATCTTATAAAGTGGAGAAACCAGAAAAGGCATACATATCTGATTCCAATATGTATTTTAATACAAAAATAAGTCCACCCAGTGCATTTTTAAAAGCTAACTGGGGCTGAAAGACAAATCTCTGTTTGCACAGTTCAATTCCCATTTCTGTCTTGCCCTGAGATTGTACATTTAATTCACTGAATTCTTAATTATAAATTTAAAAGGTACTGTTTCACTAGATCTTTAAACATTTGAAAGCTTCTATATAATTGTCATCTTAGCAGAAAAATACTCTTCTTTCTACAGATTCTTAATCTCCAAATTGCATGTGGGTATATATATATACTTGTGTGTGTGTGTGTGTGTGTGTGTGTGTGTGTGTGTGTGTGTGTATGTGTATATATATAGAGTCCACTTTCTATATATCATAGGTTTGGAAAAATACATCAGGAAGCCATTTGTGTTAGTTATTGCTACTGATGGAGTTCAAGACATACTACCTCAAAATATGGCACCTTGGCATATTGAATTTGTGAAGCTGAAGGAATCTGAGGAAAGGGCAGAAGCCAGAAAGTCATTCTCACCTTCACCTCACCATTCTTTCCTTAAGCAGGTCATAAAATCTAGAAAGAATTATCTGACTTTCCCTTGAAGCAGATCATAAGACTCCTATTTGAGAGATGTCCTCTTCATACTCAACTAAAAGAAATATCTTTATCTCTGAAGATGCAGCGTCACAGAGAAGAATGTGAACAAACAGGGCTTGCTAACTTCCTCCCAGTTTATACCACGAGATTATACCCCCTTGTCTATTACATTTCTCTATTACTGTCCATTCTTCAACAAACAGCATAAAAATATACAAGTTTAACTGTTTAACTGTTTCTTTGGGTCTTCATTTCCTTATGTAAAACCTATAGCTGATGGGTTTTTTTCCTCACTAATCTGTCTTTTGTTATAGGGGCCCAAGCCATGAACCTAAGATAAGTGAGAAAAATGTTTTCTTCCTCTGCTACATGACCTAACAACCATCTCAGAACCGAGTGACTTAAAACAACAATCATTTATGATTTGTCAGGCCTCTACAGGTGGGTTGGGTGTTTCTGCTGATGCAGCCTAGACTCAGCAAGGCTCACTTGTGTGTCTGTGGTCAGGTGTGGGTCAGCTAGGTACTTGTGGTAATCTTAGTTGGACTCTCTCACATGTCTGTCCCTTGGTTGTCCTAACTGGGCCAACTCAGCCTGCTCCTTTAGTCTCTCATCCTTTAGCATGCTAGCATACATGTTCTTGTGGAGAAGGCAAAGGACCAAGAGTGAATGTGTAAATGTAAAAAATACTTTTTCAAGTCTCTGCTTGCCATTGTCCCATTGACAAAAGTAAATCACATAGTCAAGTTCAAGACCAGCATGGGAAGGTGTAACAAAAAGAGAAGTTCAGGAGAGAATGAGAAAAGGAGTGTGACCTTCGGTGGAGGAATTCCAAAAGTCTGAAAAAAAAATCCCACAGAAAAAGTAACACAGAGAAACATACCCCAGACTCCAGGAGATTTGCTTTGGTGAGCATTCTGTCAGCCTAGAATGCTGCCATTTGGTTTCTCTCACTCAGGTCTCAGTTTGCATGGTCTCCGTTGAAGAGGTCTTGCCTCACTACGCTGGCTAACTAAAGACACTTCTCCCTTTTTATGGTTTGCTATCACAGCACCCTTTTGCACCCTTTACTAGCTGCCAATAATGAAATAATAATCTATCACAATATTTATTTCCCCATTTGGTTATTGATTTTTCCTGTTTTCCTTACTAGAGCATCAGGTCCAGTGACATTGGAACTGGCTTGTAGCAGCTCCTGAGGACCAGTTGCTAAATTTCCAGGAATTCTGTGAAGTGTTGACATCATGTTCGTAACTTGAAATAAGGCACAGTGGGAATATTTACTTCATTGAAAGTGGCATGAACTACAAAGCAGTTCTTTGATTCTGGGAGAGGTGAGTGAGGAGAGACAGATGTTACACCTTTACCAGCACATTTTGGTCATACTTGCATGAAAGCAGCAGTGGTGTGTCTTTTTCCTCATCTCCTCAGTGTCTAACACACAGCCTTCACATATTAGCACTCAATAAATATTTGTTGAATAAGTGAATGAATTGATAAATTAATGGACAAATACACGAATGAATGGATGAATGCCAAAGGGCAAATAGGTAGAAAATGGTTCTAGGTAGTAGATTTTCTGATTTCTAATCCTTTGAGGGCTCTGATAATTTTGTAACATTGAGAATTCCCACTTATCTGACACCCAATGGGCCTTGACTTGCCACAGTGCAGCCCTCCATGCCTGTCATTATGATTATCTTAATTAACCTTGTTTACCTGGAGGCTATACTTGTACTGACTCAACTACCTGCATCTCTCCTAAACCCCACCCCATCCTGACACCACAATATGTGATGACATATGTTCTGATGACCCTGTTACTCTAGTCTGGGTGATCTCTGGATTCTGCCTAATTTACTCCTCATCCTATTGGGACTCTTTAAGTTCACTTCTTCATAGGAAACTCAAGACTCTGATGATCTTGCATCTCCAAATATGTTTTGAACCCTTCCATGTTCTCAAATCTCTACTGACACCACCCCAGTCTTAGCCACTGTTATCTCATGCCAGGACAGCTGCTGGATGCTCCTAACTGACCTATCTCATTCACTATTGACCATCCTCCATCCACACTCTCAACCACCACCTTAACACCCACCTATCCCCACCCCAAGTAAAAGATTCCCAGACCCTCCTGCTCCTAGGATGAAGTCAGTGCTCTGTATGGTGGCCAGCAAAGCCTGTACCCTTGGGGCCCTACATACCTTGCTAGCTCTTGAACTGGGCTTTTTGTGTTTCAGTCACTGGAGTCTTCTTTCAGGCTCATAAATTGTCATACTTCCTCCCTTCACAGGCCCTTTGACATGTTCTCCTCTCTGTCTCTAATCCACTTCCTCCACTTTCCCTTTCAGATAACTTCTACTCGTCCTGCACCATCAAACTTGACATTGTCTTCCCGGATATGTCCAGCTGCAATTCTGTGGATTAATAGAACCATTTTTCTCTCTGTTTCAGAGAGCATTGATCACAGGTGCTGTTTGTATGAGTATTCGTTTTCATTATTAGGTTTTACAAGCATTTGCTTACCCTCCATTCTCCTTACTGGATGGCTACACAGTGAGAAGTTAGGTGCAGGAGCCAGACCTGGGTTTTCTCATCATTGTCTTTCTCTTACTCGCTTTCTCTCTCTGTCTCTCTCTCTCTCTTTCTCTCATTTGCTGGCTCCCTCTCTCTCTCTCTCACTAGATCATAGAATGGATGAAAAAATGACGGGAATGCCACAGAGATCAACATAACTAGGTTATCTATTAACCCAGGAACATTTTATTTTATGTTTTCTCACAGGAGTATAAGACTATTCAAGAAACAGATCTCTCTGATTTCCTCCTACCCCTCATATAAACATTCCCACATTCTAATCCTCCCCAGTTACAGCTCAGACAATTGCTGTTCAGCTTGTGTCATCCTTGCTACAATGAAATCTCTCTTCTAAGTTCGTCAGTGCCCCAATTTTGCCAAGCCCATAAATCTCTCATTTCTTATCTTTAGAGACTTTGTCATAGCATTTGACACTATTTGTTATCCTCTCTTTTTTTTTCCACTGTTAAAAAATTTGATTATAGTAAAATGCAAATAACATAAAATTTATCATCTTAACCATTTTTAAGAGTGAATGAATGACTTTTACTTCAGTAACTTATGTACGGTTCATATTCTCATGACAATAGTGCCAAGTCAACAATTAAACCCTGTAGGATGCCACTGCTTATGCCTTCTTTTTATGCTCTTTCTTATCTGTTGATTCCATTATACAGGAATAATGCAGAATTAGAATCATGAAAATGATTATAGAAAGAATATTTGAGCAAAACTAGGACATACTGTGAAATGGTCACTTTAATATAATTATATGTTAGGTCATAGAATTATGGAATGTTCGAGGTGACAAAGATCTAGGTATCACCAAGTCTATTTCAGTCACTTTACAGGGAAGGAGGCTCTAAGCCAGGGAAAAGATGCAACTTGTCCAAGTTGCATAACTAGTTGGAATCAGAAACCAGCTTTTCCTTTATGTCTGAAGTGACAGTCATAATTTTTTAAATGGTAAGTAACAGCAAACAATTGACACTAACTTCTGGAAAATTATCAGCAATGCGATTGAGAAGCTGGTAGATTGCAGTCATGGCTTGATCTAGGGCTACCAATAGTTTTGTTTCATTCAACTTTCTCTTTTTCTTAACCATTTTTAAAGTGTATTGCTCAAGAGTTTTCAGTCCATTCACATTGCGCACCTAATCTCTACATCTTTTTGATCTTGTATAACTGAAACTTTATACCCATTAAACCATTCCTCATTTTCCCCTATCCCCAGCCCCTGGAGACTATCATTCTATTTTCTATCTCTATTACTTTCATTACTTTCGTTACCTCATGGAAATATCTATGTCCTTTCCTTTTTGAAATTCTTTACTCTTTTGCCTTCCATGACATCAAACTCTCCTGGTTTCCTCTACAGCCTCTCTCCAAAGTTCCCCCTTCTTGGCACTTGTTTTCCTATGATAGTTTGGGTTTCCCCACAAGCTGACCCTGAGATAAGAATTTGAGTGCAGTAATTTATTTCAAAGGGCAATCCCCTAAACAGTGTTATGGAAGTGGAGAAGTAAGACAAGGAAGGGAAGCACTGATAAAATATGTGTTATCAATAAAAGGTACATTTGTAGACATTTGGAGCTCAATTCCACTGGGGGCTCTGTGAAACAGTGTAGGACATAGTTCAGGGTTGTCCCAAGCAAGCAGGGAGGAGGCTGGGGGAATCTATCTACCAACAACTCCCAGCTTTCACCAGCTGAGGGCTCTTCCTAGGGTAATTAATTCTATGGCATTTCCAGCCTGTTCACTGCATGTGCAACCATCTTCCAAGTACAGAAAGGCCTCAGATAGAGGGTGTAAGTGCTAGGAGAGGAGATCTGAGGGGCACTAAAAATATCTGCTCATGTCGCCATTTGTTCCTTACCCCTTTTTCTCTACACATGGTTTTGGCTGTTGCATCTTAACAATGCTCCTGTCTTCCATTACCTTCCATTTACTGAAAACTTCCAAATCTTTGGCCCAGATTTTCTTCCTACGATCTGACCTCTTAAGTTTATCTGTTTACATCTACTTCTGGGGGAGCTTATGGCATCTCAAAATCACCAAATCTCCTCCTCTAATTCTAACTTTGGCTATTGGTAACCCTGCTCTGGTTCCTGCCCTTCCCCCAACCCTGGCTAATGGAACTGTGACTCTGCTGGTCTTTTGGGCCTCAGCATCCCCGCTGCTCACAGCACTTCTTAAGGATAATCAGTTATTAAGACCTATCTATTCTAATTCCTTAAAAGCTCTCTAATCCATCTCTTCCACCACCACATTTATTTTCTTAATTCAGGTTCTTATCATCTCTCACCCTGACCACTGCGGTATTCTCCTAACTGGACCTCCTCCTACCTGTAATTTAAACTTCATCCAGTCCATACCCTAAGTAGCGGGAAGAGTGACTTTATTTTAAGTTATAAGAATTCAATTGTTGCAAATCAGGTCACATCACTCTCCTCTTTTAATTCTTTGAGTGTTGCAGTCATTTTTAAACTCTGTTTTATTTGATCAATTACAGAAAGATGGCTTTTTCTCTTTTGCTAGTTTCTAGAGAAAGTGGTAAACCATAGACTTAATCCTTTCTTAAACGTTTGGGAGATCATACTTATAAAACCGGTTGGATCTGGGGGCATTTATGAAGAGGAGGTCTTTTCTTGAATTCTTACTGGTCCATTTTAATTCTCTCTGATTTGTGACAATTTATATTTTTCTAAGAATTTGTTCATGCCATTTATATATTCAAATTTAGAGACAATAATTTACAGTATTCTTTTTTATTTTACATTTCTGTTGCATATATATATATATAGTCTATCCTTTTTACTTTATGGATTTGTTTATTTGCAAATTCCCCCTTCTCCTCTTCAGTCTCCCCAGAAATCTGTCCTTTTTATTAAGCATTTCAAAGAGCTAGTTTAATTATTGCTACTTGCCATTATTTCTATTTTTCACAATTTCATAGATTTCTGCTATTACCTTTATTTCTATGTCCTTGCTTATTGGATGTGCTTTCCTGCAACCTTTCCTTACTCTATTTGAATGTTTGACTCACTTTTTTTCTGACTTTTTGGTTTCTTAATACATGTTTTAAGCTACACATTTTCTTCTGTGTTCTACATTTATGTTCCCAGAATTTGACATGTGGTGTTTCATTCATTCCTAAATATTTAATTCAGGTGTTTTGTAGAGTAGGGAAGTAGGAGTGAGCAATCTAACCTCTTAGATTCCTGAATACTGTCAAAGGAGGAATCTCTTGAGCAAGATTCTAGGAGAACAAAGCAAAGAGGTCATTAGAGACACTGAAAGCTAAAATATCAATTTCTTTCATGTGTTTAAATGTAAGCAATTGTTTTGGTTTCTCAACCTTCATCCCTAGAAAAGGGAAGAAAAGGACCTTTGAATGAATGAAAATGAATCTAATTCATTTCACTTTAACTGGTCTGTTTTCTAGGATTAGCCCTTGTTCTGGATACAAATCAGAGGTAACATTTTGTGAGACTTCTTTCACATTTGTTGTTATTAAATAAGAGAAATAAAACCTTTTATCAAATAATATCATGAGCTATTTATCTTGATTACAGTAACCTTAGCTGGTTTCATCTTACAAATGTCACATTGTTTTTCTTGCAATTAAAATAATTAAATTATATACTTGCTGTTAGACCAATTTGTTTTTTAGCAGTTTCTGCTTTTCTTGTAAAGTAAATACATTGAGAAAGTTCAATCATGGGATCTAATAAAATATAAGAAATTCTTTCTAATTTTTAATGCAAGTCTTACTTCATTAATCTCAAAAACAGAACAGCAGAATACAACATGCACACAAACACAAATATACTCTCATACATACACACAAGTCCAGATGTGTAAATAAGTATATATTTCAAAGAAATGGCATGTTTTCTCTCATATTTCATTGTTTATAAATAATTCATAATTTTAGCTACATTGAATAATTACAAATTAAGTAATGGAAAATAGTATATTGATTTGTCATTTTCATTTTATAACATCATAATTTTTTCTCATGTTTTTGGTAATATGTACCTCAAGATACATTCTGTAAGACAGGTGTTTTCATATGTATCATAACATACCTGTTTGTATTGATTTTTGTTTTTTTGTTTTTCGGGTTTTTTTTTTTTTTTTTTTTTTTTTTTGAGATGGAGTCTCGCTCTGTTACCAGGCTGGAGTGCAATGGCATAATCTCGACTCACTGCAACCACCGCCTCCCTGTTTCAAGTGATTCTCCTGCCTCAGCCTCCTGAGTAGCGAGGACTACAGGCATGCGCCACCAAGTCCAGCTAATTTTTGTATTTTTAGTAGAGATGGGGTTTCACCATGTTGGCCAGGATGATCTCAATCTCTTGACCTCCTGATCCGCCCACCTTGGCCTCCCAAAGTGCTTGGGATTACAGGTGTGAGCCACCACGCCCAGCCATCTGTTTGTATTGATAAATAATGTCCCACTTTTGCTGACAGAGAAAATGGGTTTGGCTAATAAGTTTTAAAATTAGGCCTAGCTTTGCCAGTTAGGTCATTCAGGGGACTTTTTAACTCATCTATCTATACCTCTGAGATTTTGATGAAAAAAAAATGTATTGAAGGCATGTGATATCTTAAGACATTTTAAAAGCATTTAAGAAAATGCTTTTTACAAAGTACAATATAAAGTACAGAAATAAGCAATATTTTGATTTTCCAAAGCTTTTCGGAGTATATCTCTGGTTGAAAGAGTAATACACCTTGTAAATAGTAGTTGATTAGCCTTTTTGCTATTTCTCCCAGATATTGGGATTTTGAACTATTCTAGGGATTGGGATAGAAATCCTTTTACAAGTCTGAGGATTTCCATTTATGAGCTTTCAGCAAAATTGACAGAGGGCTTCATAAAGCTCATAGCTGATAGAACCATTAAAAGGGTTGTATGATGGACAACAATGTGATTTTGGCATATATTTGGAAAGTTCAAACAATTGAATGCCATTGCTGTATTAAAAATCCCTTTTACTCTTATGTACTTGTTTATAAGAGCAAGCTTTCACAGTGACTATACATATATATACATGTAATAATACAAATAGAGTCCATGATTAGACCTGTGTTCTTTTCGCAATAAAGAAATATTTATGGGCCGAGTGAAATGGTTCACGTCTGTGATCCCAGCACTTTGGGAGGCTGAGGTGGGCAGATTTCTTTAGCCCAGGAGTTCACGACGAGCCTGGGCAATGTGGCAAACCTTGACTCTAAAAAAGAAAAATAGCTGGTGGGGTGTTGGACACCTGAGGTCCCAGCATCTCATGAGGCTAAAATGAAGGATTTCTTGAGCCCAGGAGGTGAAAGAGGCTGCAGTGAGCTATGATCACACCACTGTACTCCAGCCTGGGTAACAGAATGAAACCCTGTCTCAAAAAAAAAAAAAAAATTGTAACCTTTATAGATATCCACAAATACATGAATTGGGAAACGGTCCCATTTATCTCATTAAGAGATACATTTCTGATAAAATTTACTTTTATGTTTAATACTTATTTATCAAAATTTGTGATAGTTTTATAATACTTTTATCAATTGTGAATTACTAATAATTATAATTTTATTTCAATATATTTTAAAATATTTCACACTTTATGATCAACAAAAAACTTCAATTTGTTATATATATTTTTGATGCTCATAAGAATGTAGAATGACTAAAAACAATTTTCAAATGTAAAATAAATTAGGATAAAACTCTGTAGGGGAATCATACTAAAAATTTGATTTCAGGTAATAAAAGAAATGATGTAAATTTTCTGACTGTCAGTGGAGAATTTGTTCTTTTTGATGAATGATGCTAAATTTTAAAATGTCATTTAGTATTGGGATTCCTTTGGGTATATTTAAAATATGATGTAAGAGTGTTATTACATCATTGAATTCAATTTAAAAAGTTGTGAGAGGATCTATACCTTTTCCAGATTAGTTTTGGA